CTTCATGATCTTTGATTTTATGTTGATAATCTTTATAGCTGAACTGAGTGAGATGAGTACAATTTAAAATGACAGTCGAGCCATCCTTCGTCGCAGGAGGAATTCTTGTCTGGCGTGCTTGTACCGTTCTCCCTTGTTCTCCACCTGCATTCCTTTGTAAGGTGGAATGGACACGAGCTTTCGTTGTGATGTCTTCAAACGCTAACGATGTCTCCATGCCCAAATTTCTGGTTTTGGGGAGCCGTTCGGAAGTAACAAAAAACTCTGTTAACGATTCCGGTGTTGACCGGGTGCTTGAATCGGGATTTGTTGACTGTAATAGGTTAGCGGTACGCGGCTAAAATAAGAAAAGAAAAATCTATAAAGCATTTATTAAATATTTATGTGGTTTTTATGCAAGACATTAGTGTCGATTTTCAAACAGATAAGAACGATAAAAAAGATCAATTTTTTATACAACGTCTGCCCAGAAATGACTCACTTATTAAATACAAAGACGTACATATTTTTTCAAATGCTGCACGGTATATTTTATCTAATTTCGAACAATTTTAGCGTGTCGAATCCCCAAAATAGCTCCCATTTCCCACTTGTTGCGTATCTCCGTCTTTTTTTGCCCCTCGTCTCTTCCAGCTCTTTTTTTATTATATTCCCCACGTGAATAATAAAAATAGAAGCCTGGTATCAAGCGGGAACTCGTCTGATTGGTTGATTACGATTGTTTTACGCGAAGAAAACCGGAAGTGGATGAGTGGAACCACTGAATTAGAGACCCATTTTATCATTTGACACTTTCGTTGGCAAGCTGTTTACTTCGGGGTTCAGCAATTGTACGCGGTTCGACACAATATTGGCTTTAGTTTTCCTTCTCTAAAATATTCTATCTGACATTTAAAAAATGGTCATGTTTCGGTAAATTTGAAGAAAAAAAATAGATGCTCGTTTGGAGCTTAAAAATCATCTTAGTCTGAAATAAAACAGAACTTATGAAATACGAAAGAAATATAACACAATAAGTGATTAAAATTCGAATATTGAGGGTAGTTGGTAGCCATTGAAAGAATTTTCGCTTATTTCATTTTCATGAATACTTAGATTTGTTCTGTTTGAAGTTCTAACACTAGTCAGCCATCATTCTTTTGTCCCAATGTGTTTGATATCATTCTTTCATAATTTTAATGTCCTGGTGGAAACGTTCACCTTTCTCATCACTAAAATCATCAAAATTAAATTCTATCACGTACAAGGTCAAGTTTCTATTACAAATGTCTGATTCAGATGATGTAAAGTGATTATATCCAAGGACTTTATAATATTTCCATTCATAACTTAGGATAATAGAATTACACTGTCATTATCATCAGGCATTTTCATAATATGAAAACACAGGCATTTGAGCAAATCAGTAATTTAGTAACATCTGGGTTTTTTTCTGCAGGTTTCATTCAGAATCAATTTGAATATTATGGGAAATTTAGTCATTTTTTAAAAAAATAATCAAGTTCTGTACAGCAAAATTTGGAGTTAACCAGTAAAAAATGGACTTGATTTTTGGACTCAATATCTCAAAAATACCTTTTGCTTATTATTTTACAACCAAGGAAGCCGATAGAAGCCACTAGGATGCAAGTGGTTACCAAGAGCAAAAGAGACAGAGAGGACAATACACTAATACTGCGCTTAAATTCATAAAGTCTACTTACTATAGAGGAGAGTTGATCAGAACATTTACCATGAAAGTATTTATAGAAAAGGAATGGGGAAGATACATTATGGCGGTGGGAAAGGAACTTTAAAGAAGACATTTAATCAAGAAGCCGGAACAGACTTCCAAAAGTGAGAAGTGTTGAAGTACTCGCCAGTATAAAATTACTGTTAGCCTAGAACTTACAATTACATCTAGACGTTTCAACTGTAAAATGATGAGACCTTCCCGCCAATCTAGTACTGCGCTTAAATTCATAAAGTCTACGTACCATAGAGGAGAGTTGATCAGAAGATTTACCATGAAAATATTCACAGAAGAGAAAAGGGATGCTATTCTATGACGTTGAGAAAATGACTGAAACCAAGATGCCAGGTCAGGCGTTGCAGATTCCTTTTTGGATTTTGTCAATCATCTCTAAATATAAAACAGAAACACTAAACCAGATATGGCAGCAATATTCGATGTCAGACGAATGGTAGACTTGTAGTGAGCCCAAATGTAAAAAAATAAAATATAAAAAAATATTAAAATAAGACATTTTGTTTTCTTTTAAAATCTCTTTGTTCTTTCTTTCTACTCTTCCCACTTTATACTTATCACTAAACTAACTAGAAGGCCACCCTCAAATAAAAAAGCGGGAGAAGAAAAGACTGAACAACGGCTGTGAAATCGATGTTTGCTGGTCCATGTTTTAGTTATTGTGACTAGAAATCTACCAAATTAGGAGAGGCTCCACGCATAACTTTCACTATAAAAAGAGAGAGAGAGAGAAAAAAAAAAAGGAACGTCCGAAAGTAAAAGCATTTTGGCCAATCAAAAAAACGAAGAGGCTTTTGATGTTAGCCGAAATTAAGCTTCGCGCCAAGTATTCCGGAGCATTTCTTAAGTATATATAAAGAGACAGCCGACAGGCAGCGGAGAGAGAAGGGGCAGCCAGAGAAACCAACCAAGCGTGAAAAAAACTAAGCGTCATTTGCTTAAGACATTTTCTGCCCTTCTTGAGGGTCCAGAAAACACAGCGGATTCATGTCCGCATCAAGTTTCACACTCATCAAGAAAGCACACTCTCGACTATTACCAAATTCTGACTCGTAACTATCAACTACCCAGCCGAACAAACTTTCGCCAACCAGAGTTACAAAGGACTGCCTCCAGTCAAAGTCAAATAAATAAACATATTATTTGTTTATACCTTGGATTCTTTGTTTACTTCAAAGTTTCCGAGAAATATTGCTATGACTGTCTGGTGTTTCTTCACAGCCTTCAGATGTTTGATTCAGGTGTAAAGTGATTACAACCAAGGACTAAATTGTTTCCATTCATAACTTAGAACAATACAATACACAGTCTTTATTATAACGTATTTTCATAATATAAGAATCAGGTATGTGGATCAGTAATAGGAATTCAATAACATTCAGAATTAAGTTGATTATGGGGAATTTACACTTAAATTATCATCCATTTATTTTTTTAAAAAAAGAAGGTTTCTGTAGTAAAATGTGGAGCTAACCAGTAAAAATAGACTTTATTTTTTAACTACGTCGTAGTATAAGCTAAGACAAAGTATAACCTGGCTTGTACCAAAATATGTATAGACCAGTGATATTGACTAAAACAATGGTTCCTTAGTTCTTTGCAAAGTGCTACCATTGGGACCCCACGCTCATATACAAGATTCACTTCCACTTTTCAAACATCCTGCTAAATCCTCTTCCGGGAATCATCGCTGTCTTGTTGCATTTTCCGACATATCGTCCAGGGTTTAAAATTTTCTTCTTTTGAACAACTTTTAGCTTTAAAAAACCAAACCAAAACAAAAAGAACTAAAAGAATTCCCAGAAAGTCTGGTTATAGGCTTACGATAAAAGGATGAAGGCGCCGAGCGGACAGCACTTGGTGATGCGATATTTTGACCTCTCCCCCAAATTCTGTATTGGACTTGAGGAATGGTCAGTCGAAAATAGCTTGATGTTTTCGTAAAAGACCTCGCTCACAAAAATGATGGAAAATGTAACACCAAAATCTGAAGTTGTAATAACGAAAGTGCCTTCCAGAAGCTAAACAATGTAATAAGGGATAAGAATCTTTCGTGATAAACAAAGAAAATATTGTAGAACCGCTGTGTAATAACAATACTCATTTATTGCAGTAGATGCTGCATAGGTTCCTCAAAGATGAAGAGGAGATTTATGTTAACAGAGATATAGATCTACAGAAGGATGCTGAGAATACCATGGACGAGAGGATGTGACCAATGAAGAATTTTAAACAAATGAATACAAAAAAGACATTTTTTGATATGGAAAAATTAAAATACCTTGACTGATGGCATACCATATATATATATATATATATATATATATATATATATATATATATATATATATTACAGATTGATTGATTTTTTACGGCTTATCAACCTTTTGCAAGTTATTTAAAACCAGAAAATATTTTGTAATTGCAAGAATTTTTGGTGATAATAATGATTTACTGATACAAGTCCTACTGATGAAGCCATACCTGGAGGGGGGGGGTACAAGAGGTGGATTCATACTTTTTCCAAGAATATTTGCATAACGAACCTGACTGGAATTGAAACTCGGATCTCTAATTTTCAATTTCAAGCCATTATCCATTTCACCATCCACACATGCAAGCTTACGGCACCTGGTATTCCCAATTGGTCACCATCTATGTACTGACCAGGCTCGACATTGCTTAACTTCGATGATCGTACGAGAACTGATGTTTCAACGTGATATAGCCATAATCTTGCAGTATTGCGCTGTTCGGCTAGATGCATGTATGCGTATTCTGTTGCGTTTGGGTAAACATTACCTTACCAGATACCAACCTCAACGTTGCATATCAACCTCCCTTATTTAAATTTAATATTACACTATTTTAGTGTTAGGCTAGGTACAATATAAACTCATGCCACCCTCTCGGGCTAACATTTTCTACTGACATAAAGTGGAAAGATTATGTTGAATCAATTGCTTAGTCTGCTGCTAGGAAAGTTGGTTCACTGTGTCATGCTAGACAATTTTTGTCGTCAGAATCTAACACATTTATAAGTCTACTATTCGTCTATGCATTGGATATTGCTGCCACATCTGATCTGGTGATTCTGTTATGTATTTAGAAATTCTTGATAAAATACAAAGAAGAATCTGCAATGTTATTGGTCCTGACCTGTCACCTCAAATTCAGTCACTTTCCCACCGCCTTAATGTAGCTTGCTTGTGACTTTTCTATAAATATTTTCATGGTAATTGTTTTGATGAGTTTTCTTATTTGGTACCAAGACTTTATGAATATATTCGCAGTACTAGATTGTGGGAAAGGTTTCATCATTTAACAGATGAAGTGGCTAGATGTAACCGTAAGTTCTATGCTAACAGTTTCTTCTATCGCACTTCTCGCTTGTTGAACTCACTTCCGGGTTCGTGCTTTCCAATCAAATTTGATCTTTAATAATTTAAATGTAATGTCAATCGTTATCTTATCTCGCCTTGTTTGTTTATTATTCTCTCTCCTGAATAATGTTTTTTCATCATATTCTCTCAGACTCAGTAAACATTGCGTCTTAGTGGTTTTATGACTTGATTGAAATGATTTAAAAAACAAACAAACAAGATTTGGTAATTTATAGCGCCTGGGTAAACATTACCCTACCAGATACCACAACTTCGCATATATATCCCCCTCCCCTATTTACATTTAATATTCTAGTTATTATGGAGTGATGTGAGGTACAGGAACAGGTAGTCTATGACAAGATACCTCAACTTACGTTCTCTATTTACATTTAGTATTACAATATTATGGATCTAGGTTAGGTACAAGTGTTTGTAGCCTATTTTAGGCGAGCATTAGCCTCCCATATATCTAAATTTTAACTGCATTAAGATATTTTTGAGACATTATTTTTTGACAGGTTAACCTCGATTTAGAATTTTTTTTTAGGCTAAAGATCTCCAACTACCATGCTATTTACCTATAACTGGAGGCAAGGCATCATGGAGTAATCCTTGACCTTACCTACTGCGAAAAATGGATTCATGCCTTTTCCAAGAAATCTAGTATGAAGTGAACACTAATTTCCACTGCTGGAATTTGAACCCTGCTCGCTACTCGACACCTCTATCATCAAATTAAAGATAAAAAAAGACATTGAAGATTGTCAGCTGCGATATATACATTATTATTATCTTAAAAAAACATTATTACAATCCGGAATTCAAGTAGCAGATCCTAGGATTCTCCTCCGTTGTGCCATTCGACTACTCTGCAATGCCACAACCTCACCACACAAAGTACTGCTCTCGTTCCTTTAGCAAGTAGGAGTTCACGGAGTGGAGATGCCAGTTTGACGTTTGCCCAATAGTGAATTCAGAGTCGTCCTAAATAATAAGTCAGATTCTGGTTTCCAAACAAAAAGCATTTGACTTAAAATTTAACCTATAAGAAATGTTGTCATACCTTTACCAAATGTATTTGTGTGAAAGTGAACGGGTGGAATTCGAACTCGTCACGACGATTCCACTTCCCATGCCCTTAACCGCTGCACTACTCGCAAATACTGACAAAAGAAAACTTCTTACCTCAGTAACTTCTGTTGTCGTTGGAATATCTGTTGTAAGCGCTGTAAATACAAAAATATATATATATATATATATTGTTGATATTTTGGTGTTTAGTCTGGGACATCGTAGATTTTACATGACTATGAATACTGATTTGTAGGTGTATAGGGGGATAAAGAAATAATGTGCTGTGTTCGAAAGGTGAAGTTTTTGCACATCAAATGTTACCATTAGTGTCTCTACAAAGAAAAACGTATTTTGGTTAGCGGTGTTCTTTAGTTTTCCTAAATCAATAAAAAATTCTTCAAGCTGTTTGTTTGCGTGAAAGAAGACTTTGTGAGATTTAGTTAAAACGCCCGGCTGCTGGGTCTGTCAGTAGCAAAAAGAAAATGTCAGAAACAAATGGAAAGATGGAAGTTACCCTGCGACATTTTTCAGTTTTTTTTTTTCCTTTATTTTTGAGTTTTTATTTATTTTTGTTGTTGTTGACAGATTTCTTTTATTTGTTAATATCGAATAAGAATATTAACCTTTCTGACCTTTTGTTAAATCTCTTAAGTTGGTTTAGTTTGGTTGTTTCTGTTTAGCGGCATATCAATCCGCATGAGTCATTTAATGCCGGAATCTGAATCTGAAAATTCAAACTTTATAATGAATTCTAGAGAATGACATTGTTTCATAATTAAATTATAATTACTTAGCTGCATTTTTTTTTACCAAATAATCTTCCAAAATCAAATGAGAAGTGAAAATTTGTTTTTCCTTACAAGAAATGAGATTAATCCGAGCAAATTGTTTTTCTTTTTTTGACAATGTATGCCATAGTTTTAATTTTACTATAAAATATAATGATTGTCATTGTGCTATAAAAATGTATATTTGGTCATTTTGCAATAAAATGTATTGTTGGTCATTTTGCTATAAAATACATTATTTGTAATTTTCTATAAAATGTTTTTTATTTGATTTATTTAACGACATATCAACACTTTATGGGTCATTTAACGTTGAAATTTAATTTTCTTGGGAGCTTTGAAGCAATAAAAATAGGATATATGCTATTCTGCTTTCACAATAGAATACATGGTAGACGATACTCAGCTTTGTGCATATACATGTTTGTGTGGACATAATTACTAGATGTTGTAGTTTAGTTGAAATTATATTTTGGAATACAGTTTGATTTCTTTAAGAAATTGTAGCATATTATATGGATTAATGCCATGGAAGAGTTCTTTCATGTTGGTTGTTTGGTTGATTGATTTTGTTTGGCAGCATATCAACCTCTACGGGTTATTTAATGCTTCTGAAATCTAAATATTTTGAACGCAACTGTATGCCTTCAGCTACAGATAAAATGTATTATTGGTCATTTTGCTATAAAATGTATTATTGGTAATTCTATTGTTGTTAAATTTTCTTAAGAGCAACAAGAGACAGGAGGGAATGGAAGGCCATGATCGCCTACGACCTGAAGGGAAACAGTATATAAAAAAGACGAATAATCGTTTACAGAAATGCATTGATATTGATGGAGCTTTTGTGTTGAAATAAAAAGTCTACTTAAAAATGTTTGCTTTTAAGTCCATTTTTCCACGAACTTTTTGAATATCTCTTCTAGATTTAAAAGAATGTATATTAATAAAACTGACAAATATTACTACTACTACTACTACTACTGCTACTACTATACTACTACTACTTCAATTAATTAATAATGAGAATAATTGCTACAGAACTAATTGTACGGATAAATCACCAGTTACCTCCCCTTAAGGAGATATAAAAGCACACTGTAAAATCCGTCAGTAGACGATTAGTCAGAGTAAAGTGCAATAAAGATTTGGTATAAGTTTATTCACTGGTTCTGTTTTTACTCCAATTTATTGCACTTTACTCTGACTACTCGTCTACTGTACAGGGAGCTTTTTCTACCTCCTAGATGTTAAGGGGAGGTAACTGATGATTTATCAGTACACTAATCAACACATATCCCTTACATAAACATTCTCAGGATCTTCAGTTCTTCTGAGATTGTATAAACGCCTGGTATGATCGCTTCCAGAAATGCATTGATATTGATGCTGCTTTTGTTTTGAAACAAAAGTATCTACTTAGAAATGTTTGATTTCATTCAGTTTTTCTTAAAAAACTTTTTGAATTCCCCTCGTGTATAAGGTGCCATTTAAACTTGATATGAAAATTTTGATTTAATTTTTTTGAAAACTTAAAAGTTTTATTATTTAACATACCAAATACACCCACTAGGTTAAAAACAATTTAATGATTAAAATAACAAATACTTATTTAATAAAATTGCAATATTGTTTTTGCATATATTTTCTTTAAGTTTATATATATACAAGAATCCAGTTTCCATTATAAACAAATCCACTATAAACAAATCACAAGGCCAAAAGCTTCAAAAAGTTGGAATTTGTCTCCAAAAAGAAATATTTACGTACTGCCAGTTGTATGTTTTATGCTCAAAAGTAAGAAATCCTAAGTATTTATGCTTCGCTGTTGAAAAGGAAAAAAAAGAAATTTTCTTAAAAAAAATATTGTTTACCATGAAGTTCTATAAAATTAAATTAAATTAAAGAAATTATTAAACAGTGAAGTAAGATTTTTGTTAAAGTATTTTTCTAAACAAATCTAATTATTCAAATTTCATCGATTGGTTTTCAAAATTGAACAAAACGTAGAGTTTGTAAATCTCGACAAAACATCTTGGCGATAATTTCAACAATACTAAATAATGTGAAGATTTCATCACTCGTCAAAGTGTTGCAAAAGAATTTTAGTACACAAAAATTCTCAGAACCCTCATTTCTTCCAAGATTTTATAAATAGTTGGTATCATCGCTTGCAGAAATGCACTGATATTGATGGAGCTTTTGTGCTGAAATAAAGTTTCTACTTAAAAATATTTGCTTTTAATTCCATTTGCGAATGAACCAATGTGGCGTCACTGATAATATATTAGAAATATCAGCCATCCATTTTCATTTGATTACAACAAGGAATTCGATTATTTTTTTAAACGGAATACTTTTAAACATTATTAAAGAAATAACGTATTTAACTTAAAATTCATCCGGCAGCAAGGAGATTGAAGGTTTTGAGGAGAAAGGAACCACCTCTTAATTGCTGTTCTTCCCAGGTCCACCCTAAACTGGGGCGGTAGCACCTGTCAGCTATGAAAAAATAGTGAACCCCCAGACAAAAAGCAAAACACCAGGAAAGTATAAAAATATATTCTTATAGTAAAAATACCAGAAATAGATTTCTTATATAAAAAAATGACCAAAATACATTTTTATAGTAAAATTATCAGCCACATATTTTTACAATAAAATTACCAACAACATATTTTTATTTAAAAAAATTACCATAAATAATATTTTAGTAAAATTACCAGGCATACGTTTTATAGTAAAATTGTCAACAAGATATATTTAATTAAAGAAAATTACCAACAACAATTTTTAGTAAAGTTACCAATAAAACATTTTTATAGTAAAATTACCAATAATATATTTTTATTAAAAAACTTACCAACAATAATTTTTAATAAGTTTTAAGATAGGGATTATAATTTAATATTTAACGTTTAAAATCGAATAAAATAAATATAACCTAAGGTGCTTTTCGATTAACATTACGTCAGGAGTCGATCCCCAGGGATTAAAATATTACTGAAGGGGGGGGGGTATTCTTAATTTTTTTTTTTTTAAATAGGATATTAAAATTGGAGAGAAGTTAAGAATGGAAAAATATTATTGTCATCCACATTGTGCCAATGACTCCAAACAGTTCTAATTTGTGTTTGAACTCCTCCTCCTGTCTACACAGAGCTGGACGCTCTGTGTTAATCACAACTTCTAAGATATCCAGGTAGTGTTTCGTCCGGGCTCTGTACAGAACAGAGAAAAACATATATATATATATATATATATATATATATGCACGTGGGGGGTTCAAAAGATTCGCGGAAAAATGGAATTAAAATCATTTTATTGACATCCTTTTTTGTAAGCGACGATGCCAACCATTTATACAATCTCAGAAGAATTGAGAGTCTTGAGAACTTAACCATATTAAATTAGTCTTATGTCATTAACAGTTTCAAAATGGTTTTAACATTGGAAATAAGAAAAAAAAGAATGTGTTCAACGAGGATTGTAAAGTGGTTGTTTAATGTTTTCCCATTGAAATTCTCGCGATGTTTCCTTTGCTGGATGCAAGTTATGGTGGAAAAGCAGCCTTTGATGAAGTTTCCCACGCCATCGTTTTAACGGTTAAACTGATTTTCTTGAAACACTTTCCTTGTAATAGGATCACCGAAGTTAAACAACGTTATACAGTTTCACAGATCTCGACTGCAACGAGACTTACGACCACATCACGTTGAAACAAAAAGTTCCCATACGATCACCGGAGTTAAGCAACATCTGTACCAAGATGGCTGACAGCTTAGGAATACCAAGTATTGTAACCTTGGATATGCGGGTAATTGGTTAACTTCCAATTCCGTTTGGTTTGTTATATTCACTTACGCTCAAATTCCTCTTCTTCTCCCAGCTATGGATTAATTAGTAATAATTGTATCATTAAATCATTATTGTCTTAAAAAATTCTTACAGTCTAAAAATATTATTTGGCTTTAAATTAAATTGCAAAGTTGATAAGCCATAGAAAACGATCAATCAATCAATATTAATTTGACAATTAATTTAACTGACAAATGGTTATAATCTGGAATAATAATAATAATAATAATAATATATATATATATATATATATATATATATATATATATATATATCGATCTGCGCAAATACTCTTGGGAAGTGTACGAATCTACCTCTTGTTGCCAGAGCTATGGGTTAATTATTAAGACTTGTATCACTAAATCAATATTATCTAAAAAATAAAAATAAATAAACTGCGTAGAAAATGCTTAGATTTTAGCATTAAATAACCCATAGAGATGTTGATATACCGCTAAACAACCAACTTTTTCAAGTAAGTGTTACTAACTTTTTCTACTCAGCAT